AGAGCGATACAGCGTAGAAATATGAGTTGGCACACTTATAGATCAACGGGGAGCCACCGATCTGGGGAACAGTACACCAGGGATAGAAACAAAGCAGATGCAACTCAGCACGAGCTCAAACGGCAATATGAGCTTAAGTTGGCAAACTGTGTCAAATATCATCCAAAGAGGTACTATCGTTATGTCCAATCTAAGGGAGGGTTCATTGAAAAAGTAGGGCCCCTGGTATTGAACCATGGAGAAGTAGAGGCCCGAGAGATGGATATAGCAGTGCGATTTAAGGAATACTTCAGAAGCGTACACAGGATAGACCAAATCGTCACTGCACAACCTGACCTCCGCACTGATGGACCGGATATCCCCCAATTACACATGGGGCTGGAGCAGGTGCGCAGGACTCTTGGTGAGCTCGACGCCACCAAATCCGCAGGATCAGATGGCATCCATCCAGCCTTAGTTAAACACATAGCTGAGGTTCTCGGGGACCCACTGTGCCACCTGTTCAACAAAACTCTAGAACAGGGCAGGATACCACAGGACTGGAAAACAGCAACTGCGGTCGCCATACACAAGGGAGGGCGAGACACAAGGTAGAAAACTACCGTCCAGGTAGTCTCACAAGCATCTTGTGCAAAGCACTTGACAGGATTATCAGAAACCACTTATGCGAATACCTAACTCAATACCGGTTGCTGATTACGGCACAACATAGGATTCTGAAGGGAAAATCTTGTCTGAGCAATCTCTTGCATTTTTTAGATGAAGTCACAACGAGATTAGACGAGGGGAAGCAAGTGGAAGCATGCTATCTGGACTTAAGCAAAGCTTTGACTCAGTATGTCATCGCTTACTTTTGGCCAAGATATATGCTTCAGGGATAAGGGGTAACATCCACAAGTGGCTAACAGTCTTCCTGGCCGATAGGACCTTCGTTCATCGGGACGAAGAAGCAAACTGGTCAAGGGAAAATATTGCCAGTGGTGTTCCTCAGGGATCAGTTCTAGGTCCACTTCTATTCTTTTCTATATCAATGATCTACCCGAACGCCCAACCTCACCTAGCTATATATTCGCGGATAACGTCAAAGTGATTAGATCAAATGGGAGAAAGAGGAATAAGGGAGGGACATAGGAGAAGTTCTCAAGTGGTAAAGTACATGGGATCTGCTTCTCAACATAGAAAAGAGTCATGCCTTGACCACTGGTGACAAGGAGCTGATAGTGGGGAGTGGTCATGGCAGTGGTTCACTGGGAACGACTCAGAAAACTAGAGATTTCAGAATCATAGTGAAAGCAGGCTAAAAATGGGCAGAACAGTGTGCCGCAGTGGCTCACCGTGCCCGTCGAGAGTGTTTTAGATTGAGGTCGACACTAACATGTAGCAAACCGGAGGTATTATTACCTCTATACAAGGCCATTGTTCGACCGCATTTGGAGTATTGTATATACGTCTGGGCTCCCTTATTCAAAAAGGACGTCGCTTGTCTTGAGAGAGTCCAACGACTAGCAACAAGGATGATCGAAGAACAGCTGTAGTGAACATGATTGTACGAAAAATGGAGCAATCCACGAGGACGTTTTCCGTTCATATTTTCTTCACGATCAACTCTGACTCCAACTGTGATATTTCTTTGTTTTACTTCTGCTCGTTTGATTGAGCAGGGCTTCCCGCTCATGTATATATATTAGCTGGGTCCTGTTCAAACCCACGCAACACGTGTGACACGCTTTCGCTTTGCTACTGCATTTATTGCTTGCACTGTTTAGCGTCACCTCGGCACGTATCGGTACTATCTAGTACCACGATTTGCCAATAAACGCTTACGACTCCCACGAGTGTTTTTGTCTATCTCGGGCAACGAGACACTAGGAGCTCGCGCGCACTTTGAGACTCGTAAGAAGACTTACCGGCAGACCGTCAGCACAGGTTAGCTTCACAGCGAGGGAAGTCGTATAAGCAGAGACTGCAGGAACTTGGGCTCTTCTCCTTGGAGATAAGAAGACTCAGAGGTGAACTGATAGAGACATTCAAAATTATGAATGGCCGTTAACACCGGTTAGCTTCATTGGTGAACCCGCACCGTCTGCTTTGTAAGTCAAATCCATTTGGGTTTGCACTTTTTCCTCACGGTTCATTATAATTTTCACGATGTATTTGTTTATCGCATTTGTACGATGACCGAGGAACGTCCACCAGTAGACGATAGTGAACTGGACCTATTGGCTCTTAGTCTTAAGCCAGTAGCCTTTATCCCTCACGACCGTGAGGTGTGTTTCGCTGCGTTAGAGACGCAGTATATCGCTCGTAACGTGCGGAGTCAGCGCCCCAAATACGTTTACGCAGTAGAGGCAATCCCTGGCGACCAAATGTCCGCCATTAGGGATATTATCCTTAAACCAGCAGAGAAGGATGCGTACGACATTCTGAAGGCTGCTATCCTTCAGTTCCACACCCCCTCTAACGAGGAAAGTTTACGCCAGTTGCTGGCTCGTCATCCGATTGGTGACACGACGCCAAGCATGCATTTGGGGTGTCTATACTCGTTATCCGGCCCAGCAAACGCCCAATGTGACATCGTCAGAGAGCTGTGGCTCGAGTCGTTGCCACGTCACATCCAACTGACGGTAATGGCTCTGCTGGAGGACTCCTTCATCGACAAAGCTGCGTCGATTGCCGATCAGATAGTTGCACGTGTCAGTAATGAGGATAATTTCCTCGTTGACACCACATACCAACCGTATAGGGATAATAGGGATAAAGATGCGGTACGGCCTTCGCAGGCACGACCACATTGCATACACCAGCGCTTGTCCTTCAAGGTCAGAGTCCCGGTGCCCACAACAAATACCTATGGGGCTAAGCCTAGGTTGGAACGGGCAGCACAGCCTGCCCACGTTCACCAAAAGCAACCAAAGGCTCAGAAGCTCCGCCCCGTGCCAACCACCTAAGGCCCCGGATGACCCCACCGAAGGTTACTGCTGGTTCCATCGTAGCTATGGGCCAGCAGTAACCTTCGGTGGGGTCATCCG